TGTTTGAAAATACTAAAAACGACCCTGATTGGTCTACAAAATTTCAATTTTTAATTACGGAAATTCAAACTTTATAACTATTCAACTAAAATTCTAAAGTTAACGAAAATAATAATAAAATAAATTTTTTTAAATATGAAATATAAAATTTAGGATGAACTGCCAATTTAGTTCCTGAATTATCACCTCAGTGTAAATTAGGTCCCAAAATTATTTTGTTTAGAAAAAATTAGTCATTGAATTATAAAAATCTATCAATTACATCCCTATTATTATATTCAAAGCTAATATATTCACTTTCCGTCAATTTAAGTCACGCTACTTGCATGTTATACACATTGGAGGGTAGATTGGTAGCTTTTCATAAAGAAATAGTGTATGGAGTTAACTTTGGGGGGTAAATTGGTAGTTTTTCATAAGAAATACTGTAAGTTAACTTTGGAGGGTAAATTAGACATTAGATTCACAACCTATATGAAATGTTAAGGGCTTATAAGCGAGAAAATAACGGTATTACACTCTAAAGTGTGTCAAGTGACTTAGGTTGATGAAAAATTGGATAAAATAGCTCACCCAGAACATCATCACTACTGTCGCGAGTCTGGTGACCACCACGACGACCAATCTTCTTGATTGTCTTCCTCCCAGTCTCCTTCCCTCCCGAGTCCCACAACACCGCCACTAATCTCATCTTTCATACTCATCTCTATCTCCATCGATGATAACACCGAAAACCCATACCACTAATCCATCGTCATCCCATCACCGCCACAAACGATGGCCACCACCCTATCACTAGCATCGAGATCTCTGGTTTAAGCATTATCTCCTCCTCGACGACACTACTTATTCCTCTTTCTCTTCTCCCTCCCACCCCTCGAATTGACTACACTGATTGTGTCAACTACGTCAGATCTCTATTGAACCGATCTAGAGCCTTGCGTTATCGTCGATCTGATCTGAGTCATATTCTAATCTGGAGCCTCGCGCCATCGTCGTCAATCGAAGTCGAGAGACAGGGACCTCGATATCTGATTGGGAAAGATGAGCAAGAGAGACAGGGACAAATAAGGGAGCTCGATCCCCTTTTATGCTGAGGAAGACGATCTCAACGAGGTCGTCCCTGACAAAAAAAAATTGAAAATGGACTCGTAGACTCGTGGACTCGGTCCAAACCAACCCGTTTCAAACGGGCCAGGTTAGGTCCGGTTCTTGTATTAAAATTTGTTATATTCGCCCCGGCCTAGCCTGATTCTTTTAAACCCGGGTCCGATCTGGTCCCTTCAAAATTGGGCCCTGCCCGGCCCGTGCCTAGCCCAACTCACAACATCAAGGGTAAATGCGCCATATGCAACTAATAGTCCATGTGTCATTCTCCTATTTAATGTGATTGATTTTTGTCTTCACACTAACCATCAATGTAATTCACCACTTGAAAAAGCAATATTGTTCTTGGTTCAAGGCATTTGGGTTTCAAGTTATATTTAGGATTATTTGAGAGCTAATCTCAATTTTTTTGGAGTATGTATGTATTTTTTTTCTCTAAATTTTTTAGAATTATCAGATTTCAAATATTCAGTTTGGGATATGATAAAAAAATCTGAAAGATTAAAATTAGCCAAGATATAGGAAAACTCGAACCAAAAGCCCAAAGAACCTACTCATTATATTACTAGTGCTCACTTGCTGTCAATTTTCATGGAACAACTCATATGTTTCTTTGGTGATTGGGTCACATATATTTCAGTACTTATGAATAGTTAAAGCTTACATCCTCAATATAATTCCGAATTTTCAAAATTTTAGGATGCATTTCACTTCCAAACATTGACAAGAATGAGAGTGTTAACTCATTTCTAGCTTTTCCCCTTATGCTATTGCTAGACCAGTTCGTTCTCGTGCTAGGCATACTCTCTGCTTGGCTCTTCTTGTACGGGTTGCCCTAAGGGCTTGCCATTTTTTTTAAAGAAACAATATTACACTAAGGGGGAGTAGGGATGGGCAAAATACCCATGGGTATGGGTAACCGCGGTTACCTGTCCATTTAAAGTTGATGGTTATGGTTATGGGTAACCGTTTAAACAAATAAACGGTTATGGGTATAACCGTTTATCCATGAAATTTAAATGGGCGGTTATGGGTATTATCCGCGGTTATAACGGGTATCCATCGGTTATGGGTAATATTCATGGTTATAACGGGTATCCATTTATCCATTTAATTTAATATATGTAAAATTAAAAAAAAAAATTTAAAACCCTTAGAGTTACAACTCCGTCACTCTCTTTCTCCGCCTCTCGACTTCGTCACTCTCTCTCTCCATCGCTCTCTCTCTCCGTCACTCTCTCTCTCTCCGTCGCTCTCTCTCTCCGTCACTCCCAAACCGACTTGCCCAAACCGACCTGAAAAGCCCAGAAGCTAACGGCTATAAAACTAATACGCGGAGTCTCTGTCTGTCTCACCCGCCCCCCTTATCTCTCTCCTTCTTCTCCAGCGATCTCAAATCTCTCATCTCTCTCTCTCTCTCTCTCTCTCTCTCTCCTCTCTCTCAACTCTCCGCTCAAATTTCGAATTTCTTCAAATTTTCAAACCTCTGGTCGTCTGATCTCAAATCTCTAATCAATCAATGGAGTTTTAGCGTTCGTCGTTCTCTTTCCGATCTTCTGACAACTGGGTCCATGTGACGCTGCAGGGTTTCCAATCTCCGACAGACTCTAAGTCCCAATTTGTCGGCGAGCTTTCTCTCCGTCAATACCAGATTTTTCAGAAACGCTTCCACGCCTTTATTCTTGATGAATTTCCACTGGGTCCTGATCGATGTGCTACACTCCGTTTCGCTCCCCGCCAACTCTTACTCTCCGAGTTGCGCGCTCACTTACGATCTCTCTCCTCTTCCCTCAACCTTGATCCTGCCATCTACGAAACATTAGCCCCCTGGATCAAATCCATGGCCCGAAAATTGGCAAACCCTAATGGCTCCATAGGCTTTGTTATGGTGGCTACGGTTAAAATCCTGACCATTGAATATGTCGACCAACTGTTTGATGTCCGATCATTGGCTTTGACTCAATGGCGGTTCAACTTTCGTCGAATTTCATTGGACAGTGATGGGCGGTTCAACTTCGTCGATGATTCCGACTCAATGGCTTTGACGATTGGTAGGGCGGTTCACTCGAAATTTTTGGAAAGAAAGGGTTCAAATGGGCGACGGCGACCTGGGTTCTTGCAGTGTGTGTTTGGAGGAATTGTCTGATGGGTTCTTGCAGTGTGTGTTCGAAACAAAGATTTCAATTAGATGAAATTATATGAAATAATAGAGGGTTAACTCAGTTTTGTGATGAATTAGATGAAATTTGGTTGGTTTCGTATGGTTATTTTTTGTTATTGGAAACACAGATTTATGAGCTATTGCTAAAGGGTCTGTTGCTTTAAAAATCATTCGGGAATTCAGAAATAAAAAAGCTCTACTTTTACTCTTCCTTTAGGCTCAATTTTCTCAGGTTCCTGAACTTCCATAATTTATTGGTTGTTATACAGAATAAAAAAAATTGATTGGTTGCTATACAGAAAAATATCGTTCGTAAACTATTATTTCAATTATTGAAATTATACGAGGACTTAAATATTAAAATAGGAAAATGTATGCTAAAATGTATTTATAACGGTGTTTAATTGTCAGAAAATAAAAATTATGACAAATTTTTCTTTTGTAATTTTCAAATTGTTAAAAAAATAATGTAGATGGGAGAAAAAAAAGGGTAAATGGGTAAAAAAATGATAAACGGGCGAAAAAATGGGTAAATGGGTAAATGGTTATGGTTATGGTTAAATGGGTACACGGTTATGGGTATGGATAACCGTTTATAAATGGTTATGGTTATGAGTATAACCATTTATGTAATTACCTAACGGGTAAACGGTTATGCGGGTATAAACATAACCGGTTATGGGTAAAATAACCGCGGTTACCCGCCCGCATAACCATTGCCCATCCCTAAGGGGGAGGGGTGAGCTTAGCCTCACAAAAGACTAGCAATAATATGGTTCAAATTCGCATTTGGCAAAAATTTAACTTAAGACCCCTCACTTACAAATGAAGAGGAATACCAATAGACCGTAATATTAAGTGGCAAGAACTTTGCGATTTAGTTTTATTGTTTAATATGGCTATTTGCGAATGCAGAATGAGATCAAAACAATCCGCGAACTCGAAAATTCACACAAGCAAAAACTCCGCCCGAACAGATTATACGAATATATTGCCAGGTCATGTCACACTACAGCTGATAGTGCCTATATTTCTTCAGCGAAATGATCAGTTTTGTGGAATGCATTAATCACTCCATATAACATTGTTGCTAATTACAGTTAAACATTATATATCTGTTTGATCAAAATACTTACGTGCAACCATAATCTAAAATATCGATATTATCTCGATATTTTAATCGAAATTTCTGTGTTTTTGGACTACCGATATTTTGGATATCATCGATATTTTAGACCTTGATAGGAATTCTATGTGGTACTAAGTTACTCATGTATCTTACCATGCAATGTATAAAGTGTAAAATATTGTATTAATTGATTATATATAAATGATTATGGTATGTTTAAACTTCTTCATTAATTACTACATATTTTCTACCCTCACAATGTTTGCCAGCTCGCTATATAATCAACTTAAATCAGTTAAATCCATCATGCAATGCATTTCCTTCCAATTTTTTGTGATAAACTAATAGATAATTGACTAAATAAACATCCTGTAAAGTTTCAATAAAAATTTCCAAGTTTTTATTACAATTTCCGTGGTTTTTATTTAATTTTTATCGATATTGATAATATTCCGATATTTCCATCGAAATTTTCTTGTTTTTGGACTACCGATATTTCCGATATCATCGATTTTAGACCTTGGGTGCAACAGAACAAGAATTATGGACCAAATTCGAGAAATATGAATCATTCTGTAGACTCGTTTTTCAGTCTGCGTTCGTGACGGAATCCTGTTATGTTTGATAATTATAAAACTTTGCAATCTCCTTAACCGTAGCAGCTATAATCGGCAGTGTTTAAGGGGAAAAATTCACCAAACTCAGCAAGAGATTTTAACTCCTTCACATAGCTTTGCGGAAAAATCCTCGACACCTATTTATTTTCAGAAGATTCAAAAGATCAATTGCAGGGCTCCTTAATGATGTTCAAGATCCGACCAGACCCTTGGAGCGAGCATATGATATGACTATTACGAAAACAACAGCACAGAAAATTCCCGTGACAACGCAAACCTGTCAATTGAAAAATGTTCAATTCTGACATGTTTTTACCGTTGTACTAGAAAGGATTACCAGCAGAAATAAATACTTTTCGTACCCATTTGAACATGTATCCGTAACCGTCATTCCACGTATATGGAATATTCATGCCAAAAATTCCAGCCACCAATGAAAACATGGAGACGCATACAGTCCCGGAACTAAGAAAAAGCTCAAGCTGCAACCATGAAATGTGAAGAAAATAAACAGTAATCTTAGAAAATACAGATATTCCAGATTTAGAAAGCAAAAGGAGAACAAAAGAGATTAAACGAAAAAGAATCCAGCATAGTACAGTAATATGATACACTACATCAGAAGACAAAAAAGCACCTGAATCAGCTGATTCCTGTGGTTATCGAGCTGCAAAATGAAACCATAAGTCAGATAAAAACATAAACATATTATCATAAAAATTTAAGATTCATAAATTAAGCACCTGTATATTAATGTAATCCTCTGTATCATCAATATATTCACGCAGCTGCAAAAGTTCAGATTTAAGCAGTTAATGTTGATAAAAAAAAATCTATTCCACGCAAAAGGACCAATCGAAGGTTTTGATGTCTACAAGAGTTTTTCTATGAAGACCAGATGGAAAACCCTTAGATGATTTTAGTGAATTTAAGTACTTGTTTGGTACTGAGGTGCTTTTATAAAAAGTGAGTATAAAAAACACCTGAGCTCAAAAAGGTGCTTGGTAAACACTTAAAAAACAACTTATTTTCACAGTTTTGGATGAAAAAAAGTTGAAAACTTGAAGCAGCAAAAATAAGCTTCGAAAAAAAAGCTGAAAACGTGAAGCAGCATAAATGTTGGATTATATGTTGAATGTTGGACTATGATTTCTTGTTAAATGTTGGATTATATGTTTAAGATAAAGTTTATAAATATTTTTCTTTTAAAAATAAAGTATATTTAGTAATTCACCTTTATTTGTTAAGAAAATTAAATTAATGGCACATCTAGTATTATACATTTTTTGGTCATTTACACAGTCATAGCTGTTTGAAATAAAAGTTTACCAAACACTATAATACTGTTTTTTTTTTCTTTTTTTTTCCAAAAACACTTTTACAATCAAGTTTACTAAACTCTGCTGCTTTAGTTCTTATTCTCATAGCCCAGCAAAATCAGTTTTTTTTTTTAAAGCACAACAATACCAAACCAGCCATAAATTAATGATTCACTTGTTGACTCAATATCATTCTCCTCTTAATCAAAAATCAGTTCTTGACATGCAATTCCTGTGCCGCTTCCTTAGTAGCGTGCTTGTACAGATTACCTCATACATACTCAACTGCAGGTTCACGCTCATGATAATTTTGCTTTGATAGGTCAAAGTCATGATAACATCATAACTCTGCTTTTGATTTGCCGTTCAAGCTGACCTAGGAATCAATGGTAATACATAATTCGCAGCGTTGTTACCAGGGGTGCCTTTCAAGGTAATATGTATGGTGTACTGTGTTTAAGGACCACCTAATTCCGTTGGGGGCGTGGACAGTTTGTGACTATGGTGTACTTCACTACACTTTGTGTGGGGGAGACTCGTTCTAGTGGTATACATATTGATTGGCATGGGATAGGGTGGGATGAATCTAGATCCCAAGGTTAATTTTTCCTCATAAGCCAATGAAAAAAATATAAGTTTGCCTCTAAACTAGCGCATACCGTTGCTAATTTGTTCAAGGTGCCATCAATCTGCATAAAATAAGCCTGCAAATGTATTGCTTGCCAGTTTAGCATATAGCTTCACTAAAAGAAGGCAATCAAGAAGTATGCAACATTATTACCTACCTCAAGTAACATTTCAAGTTCCTCAACGTCATTCTCATCTCCACGAACAGTGATCATAGTTGCTCTACTTGCACGTGATATTTTTGAGCCTAGGGTAGGGGAGGCAGGATACCAATTGGCAGGACCAGAGTCACTAACTGGTGAAGATGCACCAGCCAGCTTTCTTGATAAGTAAAGGTCAGCCATATCATCGTCATCGTCCAGCAGCTGTTCAAGCTCATCCCTCACCTAAATAAGCAATACAGAATTTCCAACCTTGATTTACAAGTAAAGAATAAAGAGGACAATGATAAGTTGTCTTCAATCAAACTCTGACTAAGAAACTTTTTCTCAATTCCACACTGCCAAAATCATTTTAATAGCATAGTCTGCAAATTCAACATGAGATACACAACAGAAAAAATGTGATTTACAGAAAAAAAAAAAAAAAAAAAAACTGCATTTTTATGCAACTAATATAGACTGCAAGGTATGAAGTAGTTTTCAGCACAGGATGTTCACTGAGAAGTTTCTACATTGATTGTGAAATTTTCCCTCTGATCTGTACAAGTGTAACTAGATTTCGCCCATGTCCTGTAAGTAACCCAGATAGTAAACTTCCTGTTATCGGTACTTCACAGAAAAAGCTATCCTACAACTGAACTTTTCCAAAGACATGTAAGGACCTCATCTAAGAACCTCGGTGTGTGCGCAAGCGTGCACACACATACTTACATAATTTGTAATTATGTATATATAGTCACCTATAGGGAAGAGCTCAAATACTTACTAGTCTGTAGTATATGAAGATATTTCCATGTTCTAAGCCCTTGGATAAAAATTCAAAAATGGTAAATACTTAATACGGCATTCTGATTTACTTACATATGTTAATCTTTTGTCTTGATAACCGTTTTAGATTTTCATCCATTTGCTTTAACATGCTCAGCGACTTATAACACAATAACCAGTTAGTGTTGGTTCAGGCGGAAGGGAATCATGATCTCCTACTTATTGCATTTAAATCAATAACCCTCACAAGGGCAAGAACTACTATTCATTTATGCACATTATACAGAATTTTCATATACCTTTTGTACCCGAGCAGTCAACCTCGTCATTCCACTCTTCAATTTACGAACCCTATCCAAATTGCGGCTGCTAATCTGCAGGCAGAAGGGGTGTATATTTTACTAAATGAGAAAAGTGCCAACTAGAGGAAGAAATATAATTGAGAGATTATTTTCTTTAATATAAGGACAAGTGAGAGAAATATTCTCTCATATGTAAAGACGCTAAGCTTACAAAATCATGCAGGCAAATATGCAAGCGAATATTTCTATCAAGCCAAATATTCAGGTTAACAGCTAGAATGCAAAGCTAGAGGCCTACCAAAACTAACCAAAGTGTGAAGCATAATATCCAGAATCTCTTCTTTGACTCAACTTCACACCAAAATGTAGACAATCCTAGACTTCATTATATACTCTACTTAAGTAGGAAATATTCCGACATAGCCTATGCTGACAAAGGACATGCCTCAACGCTACTATCAGTGAATTCATTCATTCATTTTCTTTGTTTATTAAATTTCAGTTGCAAAGGCCACAAGAAGCAGAGACAGGCAGCAACCAAAGAATCGACACAAAGAAACAAAACAAAAATAAGAGAAAACTCAAGTCCTACCTTAGACGTAAGTTCATCTAAAGCAGGATAAGCAGCAGTCTCAAGTTCTGTCGTACGTACAGCAAGAAAACTACAAATTGCTTCCAAAGCTACCTCCAAGGCCCGGAACTCAAATGGAGACTCTACATTACATAATCTAGATCATTCAGATATCGCAGAATAAAACCACAAATCAAAAGTTTTAATGTGTAGAATGATGAATGCAAACATTTGTATATTTCCAAGAACGCTGATGACCGTCACAGAAGCCAATTTTCAATGAAAATATTTGAAATCAATGTCATACCATCTTCATCACCCGCCTCAGTATCATTTTGCCCAGCAGGGAACTCTTTCCCGTCTGTTTGACTTTCACATGTGGCATTAACAGGAGGCAACCGTCTTTGAAGCTCTTCAACAACCGGAATAACGTTTTCATCCAAGGGATCCCGAAGCAGCACCTGTCCCATAAAAGAGCTCCAGCTCATAGAAAGCACCACATATACTTTTCTTTTTCCTAGAAGATAAAGACGGCCTACACAGGAAACGAATTTTCTAGTCTGAATTTGCACAACCTACCTAGTTACTCCAATTACTTACTTCTCCCCCAAAACAATTAATACTAATTTTGAGTATCAAACTGTTACTCATACAACACTATTACTGTTTCTCTCTTAAATCAGCAATCTCTATCCGCTGAACAAAGTACAAAATTAATGCTGATGTCTATCCAATTCAAACTCTGTGATTCCTCAAAACCCAAAACAAATTAACTCCGTCATAAAAGAAAACGAGTTTATCGAGAGAGAGAGAGAGGCTAACCTCTTCGGCAGTGATTATTGCTTTAATATGCTGCACAACCAGAAGCAAACAAACCCAATTCAATTTATCAGCAATAACAAAAAAACATAAAAAATTGAAAAGAAGAAAACGATCACCACCTCCAAATTGAGAACTATGGCCATGTCACGGCCGAGAATGGTGGAAGGGTAAGAGAGCAAAGGGTCGACAATGCGAAGATCGCGAGCGTGAATGTGAACTCTGTGCATGATGGCATACTTGTCCACGTCCAAGACTGTAGCTTTTCCATTACAGTCCAATAAAACCCAACTCCGAGAGGACTTCTTCTTCACCGCCACCACCGCCAAATGTGGGTCCACCGGCACCATTTCCCCCTCTCGAGCCATTTCTGACCATCCCTGGAAACCACCGGACTAGACCCAACCGCGGCAACCCGATTTCACTCACATCTCTCACTATCGAACACTAATAAAAAAAAAAAAAACCCAACCAATCAAAACCTCAATTTGAATCCGATTCAGTTTGCACCATCGAAAATTTTAATGGACATTGAAGATTCGGCGTGAAGAATGCCAGGGACGGTGATTCGTTTATGATTATTTGATGTTTTATTAATATTTCTTTTACAATTTGGGGATTTGAATCTGGAATTGGGGCAGGCAGTTGTGCTTTTGGGAGACAAGGGGGAGTTTTAGGGTTCACGGGGGATGCCGTGTGCGGTTTGTTAGGGGAGGAAGTGGGGGAACTTGACAAGCAAGAAAAAGGTTTGCTTTAAAAAGGAAAGGCATACTTGAAAGAGACTTGGAGGCAGATTGGACTACAGGATTTCTGAACTTGCGGATCTTTTGTTTCTACTTTCTACTTTCTATGTCGGTAGGTCCCGTTTAGGTATTAGGCGGTTGACCATCGTTCTAGACATCTGAAATTAAAAAAGTGCATCTAGTCTTGCTTAGGCACATGTCTAGCTCGTCTAGACCCACCTAGACACCTGCCTAGGTCGCGACTTTTACTTAGATAGAAAATCATTTAACTTTCATATTGCATTTTAATTTTTTCAATAAATTGTAAGAGACTTGTTGAATACTTAGATGAACACAAATTATATGTATGTTCCCCATATTTTCATTCTGCTAATACTTTATAATCTATATGTCATTATATTTTAAAGTTCATGTATCCCAATAAAATTATGTACATTTTATGTATAAGCAGACAATTATTTATACGATATATAACAAATTTACTTAAATCCGTCCAGGCATTAGGCCTCAACCTACAGTCCGACTAGTGTCTAAAGTCTTTTAGAACCTTAAAATTAAAGTTGTGAACATTGTTTAGGAAAATTATTATGGTGACACCGTCTGTTCGTGAATGTGGCATTGTTGTTCATTGTTAAATGCATTTCTTATAACTAAGTTAGTTTGCTTTTCACTACATAACTCAACAAGAAATTTCCATACTTATTGGTGCCCTTTTTAGGCTAGAAGGGGGCTAATTAGTTTTTTGAGTCAATTGATTCTCAATTTCTTAATTTCCTCCTCCCTTTTCGCTCACTCCACTACTACAAAACCATTTAATAATGTTGCTATTATAACCGTCAAAAAACAGCTTTTACTGTCGGATATTATACAAAATCCGACAGAAAATGAGTGCAGTGATGGATACACTAACCGACAGATTTGACAGCGTCAGGAAATAAATTTTTCGACAGAAATTGCATGAAAACCGACAGAGCGTCTGTCGGATGTATTCGACAATCAATCCTAAACTAATGTCGGATATTATCAATTTCTGGCGGTAACAACTGACAATAATTAATTAATTATTGTCTGATTCACATAAACATTCTGTCAGTCACAACTGACACACCCATTCTAAAAAATTAAAAAATTATACAATCTCCCGTCGGTCACAACCGACAGACAAATATTAATAAAAGGTCGTACCCAGTGCACAAGGCTCCCGCTGTACGCAGGGTCTGGGAGAGGTAAATTGTAAACTGAAAGCACCACAGGGCATGTGCTATGGTCTTGCCTCATTTTTCCAAAAGGATTAAATCCATCACTGGCCAACCCGAATCAGACATTTCGAATTTCTGATCCAAACTCCGGATATAAATTATCCAAATGCTACCATGCTGGAGAATCTGAAGGATGTCTCATAAACCCATCCTTAGGACATTCAGTTGCATGCCACCTCATATGCTTAGCCGTATGCTTCGACATATACAACCGCTGCAATCGTGGTTTTAAAGGAAAATACCACATAACCTTAGCTGCAATTTTTTTTTTCTAGAGCCATCCTCTTCATTGACATTTTTATATCTTGATTCACCACAAACTGAGCATGCGGTCAACTCTGCAGTTTCTTTCCAATAAATTATGCAATTATTGGAACATGCATCAATCTTCACATACGTCAAACCCAAGTCATTTATAAGTTTTTTTGCCTTATAACAAGATTCAAGCAAACAATCTCCATCAGGCAAAATTTTTTTAATTAACTCGAGTAACGTGGTGAAGATCCCATCCAGCATTCTTGCTAAACACTTAATCTGATACAATCTTACAACTGCCTCCAATTTTTTAAATTCCTTATAACCTGGCCACAAATCTTGATCTGCCTCTTCAAGCAACTTAAAAAAAGTCTCGACCTCTTTCGGACGCCATTCCCCAGAAAGGGGCTTAGTAAACGGCCCAATACCTTCTTCCGTTAATGGTTGGACAAATAAATCATTAAGAACATCATGAATACCAGTCAATCGATCTCCTGTTTCAATACATGGCCCAACACCTTCTTCTCCAATCCCCATATTTTGCTCTCCCATGAAAGATTCCCCATGATGTCACCACGAAGCATTTTTGTAATCTTTATCCATATCATACAACACAAGATGTTCGATAATAGTTTTTCTAATAAAAGTATATCGATTACAACATCTTTTGCAAGGACATCTAAACTTATCAGGGCTAACACCATTCGCAACTGCTTGATCCAAAAACAAATTAATTCCATCTGTATACGCTTCCAAATTTCGCGATGTTGTCAACCAACTCTTTTCCATGTTTTACCATTGTACGGTAGCAAATATTACGTTGAAACTAAGATGCCTACAATCTTTCAATCCCTATCATGTAGGCATAACTATTAGAAATTTCAATCCCTATCTTTCAACCTCGAACTATCACAATTGCAATTTAATTTCCAACACCTATCACAGTAAAACAAATTAAAAAAACAAGAAAAGGTTAACAAAAATATGTTTATCTACACTCTTCATTATTTATTAAATTTAAGTTTTGTATATCCTCATAGCATTTAGAGTGAAATATTTAATTAGTTAACATAATATATACCTATATTACTAATATTACCAATTTATGTTATATTAAATATTGTCAATTTAACATAAATATTTACAAATAATATTTATCTCATTTCTTTATAACAATTTAAGTAAATCAAATAAAGTAATGGAACACAAATATTCCTAATTTATATTACTAGTTAAATTAAAATCTCTAAATAAATAATCAAATAAAGTATGGAACACAAATATTTCTAATTTATCTTACTAGTTAAACAAACAATTTAAACATCAAGAAGTTCAGTAATAAAACCTGAACTATTGAAGAATTATGTCGTCGATCTACTCTTTATGTACTTAAGCACCTAAATAAAGCCCCTACAAAATCAAATCATAAAATAAAAATAAGCCATTAAGTGCTTGATGAAGAAAGAAATAGAAGATAAAAGTATGGAAGCAAAAGAAAATTAAAAACTTACTATGAGATGAAGAGAAGAATAAGATGAAGTACTTGATGAAGAAATAAATAAAAAGTATGAAAGCAAAAGAAATGAAAAACTTACTGTGAGATGAAGAGAACAAAAAGATTGATGATGAAGAGTAGAAAATGATTGAAAATTGAAGATTGAAGATGAAGATTGAAGATTGAAAATGAAGATTGCGGGTTAAAGATGAATAGAATGAAATCTGAAACTGAAAAACTTTTGGAATAAAAATAATAAACTATTAAATTTCTGTCGGTTTTAACTAACAGAAAATTCAAATAATAACGGCTAGAATACTAAAATAATAAAGTACTAAATTTCTGTCGGTTATAACTGACACCATGAAATCCAAAACCGCCAAAATATAAAAAAATATATTTTTAAAAAATATTCAAAATTCCTGGTGGTTATAAGAATTTTGCGTCGATTTAATCCGACAGTAAATATCCAACAGTAATTACTGTCGGTTATATGTGACAGAAATTGACTTTTATCTGATACTAACTAAATTATGTGTTGGATATCTTTTATCTAACAGAATGTCTCGTTAACCACCACCATCATCTGACACTTAAAGCTAATATTGTAGTAGTGCTCGTATCTGGAGCCCCACAAACGGCAAGTGAGTCGACTGAACATCTTACCACTTGTTTGACAAAAAAAAAAAACATCTTACTAGTAGGAATATCCCTTAGGTCTAAAATATATATGGGTTGATATATATTCTTTTACATTTTTTATTTTTTTGATAAACTAATATAACTCAAAAGAATTATAAATAACGCATGGTGTGGTGGCTAGATACCTACTTGCATCCCCTACGTTTTTGGGTTCGAAACTTATTTTTAAGAGTTAATTTTAGTTTACTATCATGAAGTTTCTTGATTTTCAACATTCCATTCATCAAGTTTTTTTTCGTCTCAGTCTGGTACCTAAAATCATAATTCTATGACACTTTCATACATTCGTTAAAATTAAAAATTAAAAAAAAAAAGATTAAAATTAAAATTTAAAAAGATAAAGAACTAAACCTAAACCTAAACCTCCTATCTCCTTTTCGCATTTACCTCTTTAACGCCCACAAGAGCTAACTTCACCCAGTACCCCACCGGCGCACCTATACCTCCATTCTTCATAATCTTCGCATAACCCTTATTCTTCCTCAATTTCTTTCTGTAAATTCCCCTTCTCTCTCTAGATTGTGGCTGAAGAGCCTCAAAACTTCTCCCCCTCCCCACGCTGCTGCAACTGCAGCTTTTCCCGGAGAAGCCAGAGTTGAAGGCGAGGCGTCGAAAGTACCGCCTGCTTCACGGTTAACGATGGCGAGTTGCTCATTTGTCTCGAGCATCAAAACCGTGTTCCAGCTGCCCAAATGGTCCATAAGCCCCAAACCCCCTGAAGTTGTTGTTAAACACGGACTGCCACACTAGCTTTAATGACTAGTGGCGGCGAAGCCACTGTTAATACCCTAACAATTTGGGTTGACCTTGAACTGCGTTAATGGAATGGAGAGAAGGGAGGAAGAGGAAGAAGGAACCAAACATAATAGTAATTTCTGATTAAATTTCAATAATCCCTTTGCCACCACAAACATGAGGAATTTAACAACCTCTCTGCTAGCTCAGCACTAAAAGACAAAGTATTCAAATGACTCCTTATACTTACTACTATTAAAATAAAACCCCAAAAATCTCTTACAATTAACCATTCCCTTACAATTTCATCCTGACATTTGTGATCAGAGCAATCAGAATTACAAGGAACATAACAATAGCTCCTCCTTTAAGAACCTTGTCCACAAGGTTTACAGAGAAAATTCTGGAAACTTGGCTTAGAATTCATCAAAATCTTCCTAAGTAGCATCGGTTTCTTCTTGATCAATCCAGTAAACCAGCAATTGAACATCTGCTAAATTGCCCTTCTTATAGATCATTTGAGCTATAATCTTCTTTGGAGAGAGCAAAGATAGTCCATTATCCAAAACTT